TCGATAAAAACATCTATAATTTGAGCTTCTCAAAAAGAACCCTAATTGCTCATCTGAAAGGGATCATGATTGGATGCTTGAATTTCTTTATTTAGGAATGACTCACAATTCCTCTGCTTGAATGACAATATTCACAACCAAATGATGCCATGTGCCTCGCTGAATAGAAATAAGAATAGCTCCTGTTTTTGTACATATGCACAAAACTCATTAATATGCATGAGAAAAATTGTGATAAAAAAAAAGTACTGAGCAAATGACAATGATTTCATAAAATCATATTTACTATTTTACCTCATTTACATCTTCTCTGGTTGTACAAACAGTTTTAAAAGAGTAAAACTTTAACTCACTTGACATTATCATCATGGGCAAATGGCAAATGTTGGCCTTTTTAATGATATGAAAACACTGAGTTAAGCTCCTGCAGACTGTAACACATTTATCCCCAAATGAGAACTCAAATGCTATAAGCAATTAGAGAAGTCTCTTGAATTTCCCTGAAATGAAGTACTAGATGAAACGTGGTCAGACTGACAAGTCTGCTCTCTTTTTCACAGAGTTCCTCTGACTTTCTGCAGCCCTTCAGACAGAGGGGAAAGGTATACACATCTCTTTTACCAAATCAAGAGTCAGTGGATGTAAGCCCAGTAGCAATTTTCCTTAATTATGCTTCAGGGTGATTTCCTAGGTGGATGACACAATGAGGACATGATATCAGTCAAATAATATCCCAGCATTCTTCACCGGGAGTGCAGATTTATAGAAGTATCATACTGTATCTGACTTCTGCCTGGGAGTCAGCATTTTCCATGTATGGAATAAATCACGAAAAAATGCATATGGACATAATAATTTAGTGATTCAGATGTCAGAACCCTAAAACACTGCAACAGAGTATGGGAGCTGACCTCTGCAGAAACTAGGTCACGCCCTCTTTGTCTGCAGATCTGCACTGAGGACATTATAGGGTCACCATATGTATTCCAACAGGAATCTGGACAGAAGAAGATGCTAGCTGCATTTCCACTGTTAAAATGACATTCACCATGGAAAATTACAACTCATTCTTGTGCCCTTGAGTAAATAAATGGTCCCAGAAGCATTATTTTAACTGCAGTTTGTGCTTTTGGACCAGATTGTTGACATACCCAGGACACACTGCTGGTTCCCATACCCTGCTGGAATAAGCAAGGTCAGTATGACCTGGCACAGGGGTCAAAGGTCAGCAAGCTGGGCCTGAACACTGTTTCCCCTCCGGTGATTGTGAAATGCAAAATCTCTGATTTCTCTTTGACCCTCTAATTTAACTTTATTTTAACTTAACTTAGTGCACCACCAGCAAGTCATATTTTAACGTTCAAATAAAAGTAGTGAGGCAGGTCCACTGATGTTTTATGAAATGATTATCACTAAATGAATGTTCATTCTAGTACACAAACAGCTTTTGTCAAGACAAATTTAGCTCCAAATGCCCTTCAGGCATAGTTTTGCAGTTACTGCAAGACATTATCACTTATTATTGCAAAACAGGAAGTGTATGGTTAGTAATAAACACTGTTCAAGTTATTTATTTATATTCAAATATTGTGGCTAACCATTACTGGTTTATATGGGAGAAAGGTTATACAGTATGTTTTTTTGAATTTGTTGAGTGAGAGCAACATAGACGCCATGAGCTTTAACATAATAGCATCATTTGCATGTGCCTTATGTGTATCTTATATGTGCCCTTCCGCACACAGTTTGCATGAACAGATCAAATTATGCTAAATACCAGACAGTAAAAGGGCAGTATGTACTGCTGTACTTCTGTGGGTGTGTCACATCAAGAACCAAAAGTGGTTTGGCAGAATTTTGGAAAATGTTTTTTAAAAACGGGGAATGAGGCCAAAGCAAGTCCTCTATTGACACTTAAATATACTGTCCCTTGGCCAAACAGCATAGTTCAGTTTAAATTAAATGTTTTAAATCTCTTCCTCATCCTAAAAAAGATGCAATCCTGTAGAACAATTAAATGGGCTCGGAAAGTGGCTCTACTGTGCATTGCTTTTTCAAAGAAATTCAGATTACATCATAAAACTCATCATAATTCAATCACAAATATGCAGTATGTACTCAAAATACTATTAGAAAAAAACTAGTTAACAGCCTAACTCCAGCCGAAGCCAGAAATCTTAAAATATTTGACGTAACCTTATCAAAGGTTTATTATAGGTAGAAAACTAACAACTAATGATGCTTTTAAAGGCCACAATATGTTTAAAACTGAAAAGTTTGAACTGACAGTGCGTCCAGCCACTGCTCTGTCAGACTGCACTTATTGTAGAGCTCTGTCAGAAGGGTATAACAACAAAACTGACACAAGTTAATAGTTTTTTTTTTTAAACAAAGTTTAATGATGATGCAGATGCTGAATTCCCAGTTTATATTTGACCTAGTGTTCTTGCGAAACAATTGATATAGTACGTAGGACCATAAAACTGTAATGTTCTGAGCTGTGTACACATCTGCTGTAGATGCTATATAGCACCTTCTAGTTCCCCTGTCTAAACTGGGCTCTAGTGTGAAATAAACCTCATGTTGGTCTGAAACAACCAGTACATGGCTCTACAAAGTCGCCGTACTTTATCCTAACAACATTTTTTAGGCCTGTTGTACCCGGTACTTTTTACCATACTGAGAGACGAGACAGTCCAAGTAACTACAAAACAGTGCTGATTTATTCCATGAACACAGGCAAAATTAACATTACACGCTCAGGTATCTTGCACCTCCAACTTGCACACAGGCAGATGTAAGATGAAAGACCCTGAACCCACCAGGCCTATACATTATATCCCCTCGGTTGGGCTAGCCCCATACTACACAGAAACGTCAACCGAGACGTCTCTGGTACCAGCTTTACAGCTGGTCATAACAGTAGTCAAAACATGAAGTAAATCAATGTGTGTGTGTCTGTTGATTAAGTGGTGTGTAGCTAAAAACATTCTCACACGACCTCTAGTAACATGTCGTGACCTAAACATAAGAACATATTATGGCTAAGGCTACAGTTATACACGTCATAATAATAATATTAAACACCCTGTCTGCTGACAGTCATCAACTCTTCTCTCTAGTTATCCTTGACCAGATGTACCCTGTAGAAACTCATAAGCAGGCCTAAGCATTTAACAGTCTAACTAGACATCCTATCTCCACTAAACATTTCTAATACATAAAGTATCTATCCAATATCTATCTGACTAAAAATACCTAACAGGCCGCTATTTAATAGCATCACAAACTGCAGGTGTGCTGAGTGTTTTCTATTGCAACTTTGGGAAAGAGATGTTCAGAATTTACTTTTTTATTTAGCTATCCAAGGTCATACAGATATCACATTCTGATTCTGTTTTCAGATGATTTTCAGTTTAAATTAGCACAACCCTCAGCAGTTCTTTTGTTCTCCCACGCTTTACTCAAATCAGCCATCATTTCTGCAGAACGAACCGAAAGCCAAATTATCTTATCTACCTTTCATCTTTTAAATTTTTTCATCTGCATCATATTTTATTTGAGATTAAAGTAGGGCCGTGTCTTTGTGTAGCACTAATTTCCACAGAGCTTCAGTAATTAAAGGACAATAAAGCCTTAGTAGTAATTAGTTTCTCTTGTTTGGTTGCTAGCCCATCAATTGTGCTTCAATAATACTGATCATTAGCATGCGCCTGGGCAGTGAGGGATGCTGGGAAAGGAGCCCTGCACACACAGCACTCCACATTCCATTCCCATGAAGCCATGGCACTGGGCCATGTGGTTAACCCTCTGTTAGCTGTGCCGAGGACAGTGGCAGGATGTGCCTACTGGCGAAGGCCTGCACTGTAAAATAAAGAGGTTGAACTGTAACATAATAGACCAGCTGAAATAATGACCAGCTTTTTATAATACTGATGGCTGGAAACATGAGAGCTGCGGCAGTGGGCAGATGCTGCTGTCACAGTTTGTATAAAAACAATTGTACCCTTCTCACTGTTGCATGCTCCTTTATTCACATCCAGGTTCACTTAATGAAAGCCTGTCTGAAACACTGTTAAGGAGTGATAAAGAGGATATATTATCACTGTTTTAATGCATCCTAAAACAGATCAAATTAGGAATCTTTAAACAGAACAGCATCAGGATAAAGGAACCTTTCTGTGCTGCCGGGGACTGTGCTGTAAACTGTGGCATAGTAATAATGCCAGGCAGCAGAAAATGTGCTCAGTTCTGTACTTTGCCTTGACATGATTGAAAGACAATAGTCCCATGGATAGGCCATTTCAACATCAAATGTGCATGCACATCAAGGGGCAAGGGTGTGCTATCCATCACATTCAGTGAGCTGTCAGAGGCGACTCTCTCAGCCCCAGCTTCTCACCACACATTTGCAACTGTATGACAATACAAGATTAAACCTCCTTGCACATATTCCACCATGCATTCTATTTGCCCACTTTTGAAAGTGCTCATTTTCAAGAATGTGTTTTTCTGCCCTGGCGTGTGAGGTTAATATTAAAACTTCTATTTGACATTTTCTTGTTTTTGCATTTCTTTTACTCAAAATAGCAACAAATGTAAAATGCAGACACCACCAAAACAACTTTATGATCATTTGAGTTTGACTTCACAAATCTTCATTATAAGCTAACCACTCTATAAAACACTGGGCTTCTGGACATCGCACACTTTTGTCCTTTTGATTTAACTTGTTCAGATCCAAGTGAATTTTGCTCACTGCTAAATGCAATAGCACAGACTATACAGCCTACGGGGATAGGTTTTGAATAATCAGGTGATATCGACGTTATAAATACAAATGGCTCGGTTGTAGCCATGCAAATGAAAATTAAAAATACATGAAAACATGGTCGAAATACAGTGAGACTCTGTGCAACCTCCTCCCATCCGCCTTGGCACAATAACCCAAATGGGAGCCTTTATGAAGCACTGATGGAAGCAGAGTGCGCTTTATAATGCACAGCCGTGCACACTACTACATTTCCAGCTAATCAGAAGCGCGCAGTTGCAGAAAGGAGAGCGGTTGCCAAGGCAGCCACCAATCTCCCCTCCCCCTTCTCCCTTCGTTCCTCTTTCCCGTTTATTATCGACAGAGGTCGCATGGCAGAGGGAAGTCCAAACACTTCTGTACTGGAACCATTGCAAGAATATGCACCTCCATAACAAAGCCTCTGTGGAGTCCTGAGAGCAGTGGGGAAACAGAAGCTGCAAATTTATGGGCTACTATCCATTCGTACAAAAGGTTTAATAAGAGAGGATCTGAGTTGGAGGTTTGCTTTTATTTGTTCTGGAACAGCGGGACAGTTTTGCAAACACGTGCGTATCCCTGAAATTTGTACTCTCCGTTTCAGTGAGTGAGTGTTTAGCATCCTGGTGCGGGGCTCTGAGGAGGACTGCGCATCATCAGAGTTGGTGCAGAAGTTCGGCCGCGAACGGATGTGAGGGAAGAGGGTACCGAGACAAACTCCCTCACTTCTCTTCTGTCTCTCCTGCTCTGTCGTTGTGCTTGTTGAGACAATAGTGAGCCAAAGACGCTGAAAGTGATTTCATGCCTTCAGTCTCGCACAACCTGAGATGGACGTGAGATTTTATCCTGCGCCCCCGGCAAATGTGGGTTCATGCTCCCTACCGACTGATCCAAGTTGTCTGAGCTCGTTGGACTATTACCACTCGAACAAGGTAAATAAAACACCATGTAGCCTCCTGCACCGAAACGATTAGTGTCTCACCTGCCTGTCTGTATGAGCCAGTAGAGCCTGTTTACGCAGTGAAAACGCATGCTTTGGACGCGTTTTATCCACGGGCGCTCACTTGCTCCAAACACAGAGCTTCACACTTCAAAAAATGTCAGGTGTCAGCAAGTAAAGTGACCTGGGCTGTGCAGTTACAAAATTAGTTAGTTTACAGTGAAACATGCAGTCTTTTTGATTTGCTGTTGAAAGAAAATGTGGAGTCCAACTTTTTTTTTTTGCCTCCAACCTACATGGTTATTTCCCCTGTGAGACTGTACAGTTGTGTTGGTGCACAAAGCAGGCATTAAGTTTTCCACCCGATGTGGAATACCAGGGACTGTATAGAATCCATACTGCCCCACCGTGCTCTCTGCTCCAACATCATCTTTCCTCCTTCTCAATTTTTACTTATAGCTTATGTGGTTTTCCGCAGGGAGTTCAACGATTAAATGGATGTGTGCCAGCAATGTACTGTTAATTACTTTGTAACGAGAAGCCACACAGCCTGGCTGGTACAAGTATCACTCTTTCTCTCCTTGTTCTGACACCCCGCGGCTTTTGACTTGTGACATGCACTGACTCCGCTGCAAGTGCGCAGGTGGTATTTAAAACATTATGTAGATCGAGATTTTTCAGTAAATAAATAAATAGATCAATTATAAGCCGTTTTTATAGAGCAAGCAGTGTTTTGTAATGCTGTTATAAAGAGCAGAAATGTATTTTGAAAACTTGCTATAAGAGATAAAAACAGCACAAAGTAAGATACTGATCACAGCAGAAGTACTAACGAGTACCACTACCACAGCACACGCCCAGTGGAAATAATAGGAAAACTCATTTAAATTTTAAAAGTTTGACATTTTTTAAGTTTTAATCTGCAAAGTGACTTGCATGTGTAGTTTTACCACCATCTCAACCATCTGCAGTCTCTTACTAGGTTTTATTGTTGTCACTTACCCTGGTTAGAACAGGACAAATCAACAGGCTCTTGATGTTGACCTGCTGCTGTAGCTGAAGGTCTTATGAGATCAAGATCGAGTTCTCTGACTAGTGTTTTCGGATAAAGACAACTTTCAGGCATGACAATGTGGCAAATGTTACAAAACACTGTTGGAGGATGTTTGTCTTTTTCTGTGTGGGCAATGGAAAATCTCTGTAACTGAATGGAAAATTCCAGTAATTAACTGAAAAGATCAGCTCCCAATTTAGGTCTTATAAATGGTGCTTTAATAATCTTTGCTCAAGTTTGGTAGCACATCTTGCTAAAAAAAAAAGAATAAAAAAACTATCAGGGCCCAGTTTTATAGAGCAACTCCTATTCAATCGCAGATGAAATAATGCCTGTATAAAACATAAGGCCGGTTTACACCTGTGACACACAAATGGCCTCATATAACTGTTTCATCCACACAGGCTCTAGTTTTATAGGTCAAATGAACTAGGATCATTTTCCACACAGATAATCTCAAGAATATAACCATATCCACCAACTGCATCTATTCTGGAAGCAAAGCCACTAGATATTAAATGATATGAAGGGAAGGAGAAAGTGATGCCAACTACTGTCCAATACAAAAATGCTTCACCCCTCGAAATTGCAAGTGTTCTTCTGAATTATTTAACCCTGCCTCCTACTACTTTTATTTGGTTTTCTTTCCACAAGAGGAGGTATAGCTTGGTATAATCGCACGTGTAACACTAACTACCTTCCCTAGCAATGCAAATGAGGCTGGCACCAGCAGAGATCATTTGGTATCATGTTAACAGTGCATGAGGTCGGGTTCCTCCCTGCTTGTCAAACTAGCAATGGTCATGAAGAGAAATCAGATTTGTTATGTAGCTCCTGTATCTACAGATTAGATCTGTCTGCTTCTAATCATCTCTGGCCAATTTCAAAGTCAGCCCAGGTCTTTTTCTGAAGTAGAGTGGATGCAAAAGGCTAATCACAGCATTAAGTCACTTGCTTTTAAGGGCTTACTTTACATATTCATGTACATTTTAGTTTGTAGCTGAATTTCCTGGTGGATTTGTTGGCTTCTAGTTTAGCTTAAGAATATTCTTTTGGAGTAATGCCATTGGAAAAGTGTCAAAATAATTTGAATAAAAAGCAGCTTTTGGTAAGATGATTGCAGTTTGGCAACCATATTGCGATTTAGCAACTTACAACTTGAGAAAATGTTTCTGCTTTTATCACTGTGAAATTAAAAGTGTTAATTTGAGTCACACACCAGCCTAATTGGATAAAATGAGCATGTGCTTTTATTTTAGCTTCAGAGTGTGTTTATTTGCAAACCTGTTGTGTGCATTACTAACTCTGGAAGCTGTGCGCGGGCACAAGCCTAGTTTCAGTCATTAGCAAGTGGACTCCTAAGGAAAACATGTGCAGCTGTCATGCATTCAGCCTTTGTGACACTGCTTATTTGGATCTGCACATTTTTAAATTCATAATAGCTGATGCGTATTTTTGCTTCTGGGTATATTATTGCTTCTCTTTCACCGTATTCAAGATGCTGATAATTACTGCGAACAACAGTCGTAGTGTAATAATATGATATACATTAATGTGAGCTGTGCTATTCTGCATAATAAGTACTTCAAATATATTTTATGCTAATACTTTTCTACTTTTACTTAAGTAACTATTTGAATGCAGGCCTGCTACTGCTACTTTTACGTAAGCAAACAATCAAAGTGCTTCTTCCATCACTGCATAAAATGAGCAGAGAAGGCAGTGCTGATTGATGTGATTTAGAAATACCCATAAATAACCCTGAAGATGTTTCCTTCAATACTTTGAATATTCACTTTGTTTCACTGTGAGTGTGCATGTCTTTTATTACTGTGGCGCTCTCCGAGATATTACATAGAATAATGCAATTATAACAGCTCCGTGCTGTGATGGTAATATGAAACTGTTCCATGTTCTAATGCTGTCTGCTGTCTTACAAAATGTGTTGTACATATATTACTCATATACTGTACAGATGCCATGCTAATTTGCATTCTATGTGTTGTGGAAAACACTGAAAATATCATCTTGTCTCATACAACATGTACAACTCAGGGTACTGTGGCTATTCATTTGCCCGGCACTTTTAGTTTGCTCTGTGAAATGGGAACCCAGTGTCTGCTCCTTTATTTGAATACCTTAATCAAACAGTGCTGACTGCTGCTGAGGTGAAGTGCAGCCTACAGTATAGCACTAGCATAGAGTGCAGAGAGAGAAGGGCCAGTGTTTATACATTCAGGCTCCACCCAGCTCATATATCCTCCCAACAACTGATATCTGCTTAGATACGGCATGACTGAAGAGCTGGCTTTGTTAGTTGGTGGTCTCTCCCTGAGATAAGCTGGGAAATGATGGGCTCCATTTGAATCCCTTATCTCTGGTTTATTTTTTTATGACAGAACTGCTTTGTGTATGTATGCAAATGTTTGATTACTGCACATTAAAATATTCAGTCACTCTCCACCAAATGATTGTCCTCAAGCTAAACAAGCTCTTAAGTAAGCAGAGACATGCAGCATTTATTGTTAGGTTTGCCTAAATGTACAAGGGTTGTTTAAGATGTTGAGTACTTAAACATGGCTTACAATTTAACCACTCTCTGTACAGAGGCTGTTGTGTAGGTTCATGTTAAGTGATGTTGTTGCTATTAGCTAATGACAAACTCTGTGGTATGTGTCAGAGAGGCAGAAAGGGAGACTCAGAGGATGAGTGAGAGTCAAATGGGTTGAAGTAATCAGTGGCCCAGGATGGGGACACTGCGTGTGTGTGTGTGTGTGCATGCCTGCGCATGCTAACTCGGGGCCATTCAAGCATTTTGCTGACTACAGAATCACAATCACAGTTGCTTTCATAGCCCTGTGCAGAGGAAGGCCATGCATACCACGGCAAGGGCTGGTGACACACAGCAAGCAGGGGCAGAGAAAAAACAGCCACTAAATCATATTCTGCCTGCCCTGACACACGGAGGAGATTTTTTAATAGGGATTCTGACTATTTGAAATCATTTCAATGAAACTGGAATTGGCTCTGACATTGGCTGAGTCACAGAGCCTGCACATGGAACAGAGATTTTTTGCATTTTATATTTTATTATCTGGGTGACTCTGTGTGAAAAGTCCCTTTCCCAACCAGCCACAAGGTGTCTACATCTGCTTCTTATGTGACTTAGTTTTGGGGATTTTTGGCAGTTTGTTCTGATAGATGTAGGCAGACTGATGAAAGGAGAAACGACGTGATGCTTTAATAACACATCAGAGATCATGAATTTATTTTTCACAGTTTAATATGCTCTGTGGCTCTTTGGTTGGTCTTTAAATGCAGTGTTTGAGTTTAATGTAGGTTATGAGAGTGACAGTATGAATGTGTGTATTGGTGGTGGTGGTGGGGGCTAAACCAGTGTGCTAATTATTGGTCCCAGCAGTGCAAAGCTACTTGCTCGTTGGTGAGTAACAGTGTATCCCCATAAGTGTTTACCATAATTAAGGCGAGCCTACGCCTAAGACTTATCTACTTATCTGTCTACACTGGTGCCAGAGATCATCAGGGGTGCAGTTGTTGCAGCTGTAATGTCCCCCCCGGTGGTTTTATATTCAGTTGCACTGACAAGAGTAATGAAAATCTGAGTGAGCCCATCATGAGATTTTAACATGTGACCTTCAAGTAACTAAGTTTATTTTTATTTTTACAGTAAGCTCATACAGAATTCAGCCAGTGTTTGTGCTGAAGGTAAACAAATGTAGACAGTGACAGTGTTTATTATCCGTTTACATAATCTGTACAATGCATTGTACATATATAGCATTTGATGTATATTAGTTGATTATGTGATTAATCAGCACCAAATTAATTTACAGCTATGCTGGCCATTTACTATTGTTTATTTTGCAAAAATACCAAATATCCCTGGCTCAGGGTCATCAAATGTTAGGATTTGCTCC